TAGTTAACGTTCCTTTTTCCCTTCAGAAGGGCCCCTTAATAATCCTGGATTGCCCCATTTGGGGAGGGTTGATCCAATCAAAGGTGAGACAGGACAGCTATTTCTGTTTTCACCCTTCCCAAACGTTGATTTGGGCTTGAAATGCTGCTCGAATTTATTGTTCCTCCCCTTTTTTTGACTTCTTAAAAATCTTTTTATTGTGCTGTCGATGGCCCAGTTAGGAAATCCGAAGTTTTATTTGGTTTGTGACCCCAATCTCTTAAAAAACAGACCCTCCTATCAAGAAAAATTGTATTAAACGACAGTTTGTTCCCTGCTTTATTTCACCTAAGAAATAAAAATACCTCATGGCTGGTTCTTTTATTATCAGCCCCTAAATCTTCCAGAGAACACTTAAATACTCCGTTTAGGAATACCTGTAAATTCTGTGTCTGTTGCTTTATTCTTTAAGCACAAGAAATTACCTTAAAGGAAGATTTTTGATCTCTAGGTCAGCGATTGTGCTTTCCTATCTTCCCATCCTCCTCAGCTGATAATTCCGGTTTTTTTTCAGGGCTTTTTTTTTTTCCCCTAGAACTTTGTGCTGTCAAAAGACACTAAATAAACTTCCATGGATGCTGAAATTCCGGAGGGATGTGACAGCGGCTGGAAAACTTCTGGGTTTAGGAAGTGGGACGTGGTTTAGGGCTGATTCTGGTGGGTTTGGAGGTCTCTTCCCACCTTAATAATTCCATGACGATTCTCCTCTTTTTCCCCCGAGTTCCTGCAAATCAGTGAAAGCGGCTGCAGGTTTTCCAGAATTAACCAAAACTCCTCTTTATGGGCAGCTTGGAAAAACGGGCTTTTCTGTCAGGGGAAGGGTTTTCCTCTGGGAAAACTTTGCTGGAGAGGGGGGTGAGGAATAAATGGAGCCCGCAGGAAGTGGCCTGGAAGTTGTAAATGAGGCAATTTCCTGCTGCAGGGTGTCCTCACGTAACCCCAGGGAGAGACAGAAACTGTCTGGGATTATTTATGGAACAAAAGGAGAGAAATATTCCGGTTGTGCTGGAAGGGAAAGCCTAAAGAAGGTCAGAAATCCCTGGAGTTGTGTAAGCAGGAAGAGCAGTGCTGGATCCTGGAGTCCTGGGTTAGGATATAATTTATTGTAGAATAATGGGATTTTATAACCAAACACTGCTATTTAATATAATAGTTTAATAAATATATTTGTTTCAATATTAATATTTTATATAATAATATAACTGTATAACTATAATATAACCATTTCATATAATACTTTAATATAATGATCTCAACATAAATATAATTAATTAGATAATGTAATTTTATAACTCTATTGTATCCATTTAATATCATATTTTAATAAATATAACGATCTCAATGCAAATATAATTCATTATATAATATAATTTTATAACTACAATGAAACGTTTTAATATAATATTTTAACATAATGATCTCAGTATAAATATAATTCATTTTATAATAATATAATTTTATAACGATAGGGTAACAGTTTAATATTTTAATAAATATAATTATCTCAATATAAATACAATTCATTATAAAATAATTTTATAACTATAAGGTAACAATTTAATATACTATTTTAATATAATGATGGCAATGTAAATATAATTCGTTATATAATATAATTTTATAACTGTAATGTAACCATTTCATATATCTTAATAAATATAATATCAATATAAATATAATTATCTGATATAAATTTGTAATATATAACTATAATATAACAATGCCATACAATATTTTTATAAAAATAATTTCAAAAGAAATATAATGTATAAAATATCTAATTTAGAATTATAATAAATATAATAGAATATTTTTATCACTATAATAATCTCAATATAAATACAATTTATCCTATAATATCATAATTCCACCTTCAGAATCCTGCTTCTCCTTCAGCTTTATGCAGCGAAAACTTGTTATGAACTCCCCTAAAACGAAAGCTGTGAAATGAGCCCCGTTTTTGGACCTTTTTAATGGACTTTCAACCCACTGACACGATCCTGAGATGGATTTTGGGGGACTTTAAGCACTTGAGCAATGACTGGAATCACTTCTGCCTGCCAGGACCGCTCAGGCGTTTGGAACAAACCTTTCTTTATCCAACAATGCCCAGTTTTGGGTAATCCCTTCCTGTCCCAGCCACGTGGCTCCTTAATCCTGTTCCCTAAAGCTCCTTAACCCTCTGGGATCCCGTTCCGGGGCGGATCTTGCAGAAAAAGAGGAGCGTTTTTCCAGGATCACAGCTCTGCCTTTGCCAAAACCTCCCCCCAGGGCATACAAAACTTATTTCTTGGCCCCTGTGCTTTCCTCCAGATACTCTGAAGGTTTTCATTCTCCCTCTGCCAAAAAAAGCAGCTTTTTTCACACTGTTTGTA